CGATCCAACTTACTCTACGCTTTACGCGGAGCTTTCATCGGATCACCCGCCGGCTAGCCACTATCGGATTTCCGACGGGTTCCTTCTCCTTCACACGAGAGGAAAGGACTTGCTAGTTGTGCCCCAAGATCACATCTTACGGACTCGTCTTCTGGGCGAATTCCACGACGCACGACTTTCGGCACACCTTGGCGTGAACCACACATTAGCACGCCTCCGCCAGCATTTTCACTGGCCCGATGTCCTTCATGATGTCACGAGGTACATTGAGTTATGTGCAGTTTACCACCGTAACAAGGGTCGATCTCGAGTCCCCTTCGGCGAACTGAAACCGTTGCCGATTCCTCGGGCACCACGCCTCTCCATTGCTATGGACGTGACAGGCCCGTTTCCCYGYGATCGCCACGGCCATGACGGTATTCTCACGGTCGTTGACCGTTTGAGCAAGTATGCTTGCTTCCTTCCTTGCGAGTATTATGCTGCAACGCCTGAGCTCGCACGAGTCGTGCACACCGGTTGGATTACCAACCAAGGTGTTCCGGAAGACATAGTGAGCGACCGAGATACTCACTTCATGTCGGCCTTTTGGACTTCCCTCATGGCTGAGTCCGGTACGACAATGAAGCCGAGCTCGGCTCGGCACCCGCAGACGGATGGCCAGACGGAGCGAGCGCACCAGACCGCTCAGATGATGTTGCGTACGCTCATATGTCCCGACCATAAAGTTTGGGTTGACTGGCTTCCCGACATCGAGTTCGCCTATAACACTTCGGTGCACCCGGCAATCTGCGTCACACCATTCGAGCTCCATCATGGTGGAGAGAAAGCACGGATCTTCGCTGATCTCCTTTTGCCACAGGCGGTCGACATAGACGTCCCTTGCTCTCCCGCTTCCGTTCGGAAGTACCGGGACTTACTGGTCAAACCCCGCGCGAATGTGAAAAAGGCTCAGATCCACATGCAGCAGGAGGCTAACCGACGTCGACTTCCATGTCCTTTCCACGAGGGAGACCTTGTTTGGGTCCTCTCAGAGGAATTTGCGCTCGAGCAGGACGCTTCGCGCAAACTCCTTCCGAAATGGTTCGGACCATGGGAAATCACTTCTGTCGTTGGAGACGACCCCGCAGGTCCTTCCTTTGTGGTCAACATTTCTCCGCACCTTCCAGTGCACCAGGTCTTCCACGCGTCGAAGCTGGCCATCTATACGCCACCTTCCGTCGACGAGTTTCCTGGCCGTCAATCACAGGATCCGCCTTCTATGGACGRACATCAGGAAGTCGACCGAGTCATCACGCATCGCAAGTATGGCAACAAGCCAATGCAGTTCAAAGTCACATTCAAGCAATGTGCGCCTGATGACACTCCATGGATCTCCAGTACAGATTTGCAGACTTCTGCACCCCTTATCTTCGCCGACTATGAGAAGCGACGCCTTGCTAAGGGAGCAGCTGGTCCCGCCCGACCCACCCCGGTATC